CGTCATAATATTTCTTTTTTTCTCCTCTCTCTCTCTCTTTCCCTAAAAATCCAAAATGGCGCCCATAAGAAATAAGAAAGTAATACCCTGTAGCCTTTACATCTAGCGTGTTATTGAAATGCGGCTAACAAATTTAAATTCTCCGGAAAAAAAAAATAAAGCTGGTAAAGGAACCGCTATTTCCGACCGTTTAAGCCAGGGAAAATGAAAACAAATTTGACATTTTCAGTTTTCGGCGATATCTGTTATTTTCAAAGACACTGAATTCGGAACAGAATGATAATAAATAACGGGTTACATACGCTATTTTTGAGGCAAACCTTTTTGACCTAGAAAAGATATCAGTTTCAAGGGATGATTTATTGGGGTTTAATTGCATTCGCATAAGCGAGACGAATTGGGATGTAGCGGTCATTTCATTTTCGAGTTGCGACTACCAGTTCCGTAATCTTATATTTGAAAATCACTCACTTAATTTATATACAGGGTGTCCCATTTATCTAGCGACAATCGATTATTGCGGAAACTAGCGAGGACATCAAAAAGTTATATATACATATAAAATATTCTTCATATGGAGGGGTCCATTTAATGATGCTATGCAGATTTTCACATAACTGCCCCTAAAGGGTCGAGTGTAAGGCAACTTAATTTTTTCAAATAGCACCTATACTTTCGTGGGAAGCGTTGTTTCCCTACACTTATGATTTTTTGAAGACATTTGCGCGATTTTTGGTTTGAGCTAGGAAGCTGTCAAGAATTTAGTACATTTTTTTAATTCTCTTTTCAACGATGTAAGATATCGCCAAAGAATAAGTAATATCACAGATTAAAATATACTAAAATCTGTGGTAATATTAATTATTGTTGCTATTCAAAGTAGGTTGAGCTAATTTTCAATCAAATTAATATTTAATTAATCTTTAGCCGATCTTAGGATATTTTTCGTTGCTAAATATCGAGCTAAATATAGAATACAAGCTGGCAGTCGAAAGCATGTGGTTGCCAGTCGCACATGTTCAATATCCGCTATCCAAGAAGGGATCTGGAGAAATTTCCTTTCTTTTCTTTGGGATCCACCGAATGTTTTTTGGTCAATATTTTCCCGCCTTTTTGTCTCAAGTTTCTCAATGTGACGGCAGGTCGTTTGTTCGTTCCAGTGTATATTCCAATAGATCAAGATCTTGGTGGCCGAATACCAAAGAGGGGGGGGGGGGGGGAGAACACTGGCTATATACTTCATTGTATTCTAATGAAAGGTGTCAACGAAAGGACTTCATTTCTACGAACTGCAGCCCTACTTCTCCACCCCTGACCAAGTTATAATTCCTCATATCTTCGAGAACTGAGTCTTTGAACAGAGTACTCGCAAAGAGAAAATGAAACATCTGGCCGAGACATATCTACTAGTGGCTCAAGATTGCTATACCAAAAACTGAATATGTACAAAGTCACGCCCGGCTCACTGTTATGAACAATTTTGCGCATAATTTCTCTAGCTTGTATTAATTTGAATTTGATCCCAACGACCCCCAAAACTGTGTGTCTAAAGAGAGCATGGTTACGGTTTCATTAGCATCTTTACAATTGCAATGTTTAAAAAGTTGATTTCCCACCATTAATATTGGATAATGACCATAATGGTAATAGCAAACCAGTTCTCATGGCGTCATAATACCTCAATTTTGTTAGCACGTCCATCATTGCGAAATGGTGCTTGTTGGAAGAAGTAAAGTGTAGGTATGTACCCTCATGATCATTGCACACTAAAGCGGGCATCCGATGAGGAACTGAATAAGAACACAAAAATGCTCCACTGTAACATTACCTTTTGCGATTCAAAAGATCGGTGCTACTATGACCAAAAAATTTAAATTTGCACAAAAACAAAACCTCCGTTACAACAACAGCACATCCTTTGAATGTGTATTAGACTGCCACGAGGACTGCCATTAAATCTCTTTGTAGAAAAGAGGCCCTCAGTCAATACAAACTTCTTCACTTCTACGCCAATTCCTCTATCTTTAATGTACTTTGTGCTCTTGTAGACTATTTTACGATTCTAGAATGTTCTCGAAATATTGTTCAAAAACTCTTCAGAAGTTCCCCCAAGAAGTATTTTTACGATACGTTCCCTCGTAATACCTCGGATCCGGCTCCATGTTGTGGTGTTGTGACGCGTTTTTTATTTTTGTTTATGTTTATTAGTAACAATTAATTTATTGCCTACAGTCAAGCAACGTTGCTACCGGTTAGTACCATACTTGAATGTGTAACCACTCGAAAACTTGCCCCGTTCATAAACAATGTGGGTTACTGTTTGACAAAAAGAGTTGTATGACGTCACGGCGCTAAAAACTCATCTATAAAAAAAACAACTTTTGACAGTTTTACATCCTTTATGCCTAATGCACACTGCCAAATCCAAATAACCGTTTTGAAAATTTTGACTTGAAAAGCGTAATAGCGCCTTTTTGAAAAATACAAACAAATGATTTTGTTATGGAATGAAACAGCTGAAGAAACGCTGGACTGAATGTATTAGTGTAAGTTACGTAGAAAAATAATTTTAGTTAAGCTTTGTATGGTTTCTCCGCAGTTTTAGGTAGAAAATTTAAAAAAAAGCGCCCTCATACTTTAAAACTACCAAATTATACAAAATTATTCGTGTAATTTACGTAAGTATACACCCTTGGATAAGTTTCAATTGCCCACAAAGTGTCATTCCTTTACAAATTAATGCTTTATAGAATATGTCCACATTTACATATTAAATCGGTGGACTTTCCACGACTTTGATGGTTACTGATAATTTTACAGCTTTACATTAAGTGTAATTTTGGATCTTATCAAATTTCTCGAAATAAAGTCACATGGTCCCGAATGTCATAAACTCAAAACTGATATTATTGTTCATTATTTGTTAACAGTGGAGTCCACATTTTAAATTTTATTATCGCGACAATCTATGTCTAGGGAATACGACTATCTTGAAATGCGTAACTGCTGACAACCCAGGGACCATTACCCTTTATTATTACAGGTAAAGCATTGGCAATGGGCTTCGGTGATCCATTAAGCTGGTAGGAGATCAACGTGTAGATAATCGTTATCTAAATTGCATGTTAACTACACGTCTTTTTTTAAGATAATTTATCTTGCTTCATTTACTATTTTTACTGAAGCGAGTAAATATTTTAGCATCAGTAGCAAAACCGAGAATTGGCTCATTGATAACCTTAATTTTCAATTCCTCTCCCTCTCTCACTCATAGGCTAAGATCGACAGTTTCTATCGTCCAAACTAATTTGGAACTTTCCTTACAACTTTTTAATAATTTAATTTTAACGACGCTGACCATTCTAAGCCACCTTGAAGTTTGATTACATTATAAAGTAATTGAAATTGAATACACAAATTATCGAGCAATACTTCATTAATTAAACATTGCGCGATCTCAATCAAAAATGTACAAAGTCATTTTGGGAGTTATTGCTGTAAGCGTTCAATTAAAGAAGAAAGTTAATTACTTACCGTATGCTAGAATTGGCTACCTACGTCCAAGGTTTCGGACACTTGTAACATCTTCAGTTTTCTCGAACTACATCGGCACTCCGCACACGCAACTTATAAACGCTTTAATTTAGCACACGAACGCATAGCTTCAATTTGCAAATTTCTGAGTCACCCGTGTAAATTCGCGGCGGTCGCGGTAAATTCAGGAAGTCGACGGCCGCGGCAACCACCCCACAAAGAACGTGCACGCAACGGTAACCGTGAAAAACCCGGCGCCGTTATTTACGCAGGTGATGCGAAACGTTTTAAATTTTTCTATGCGACTTTAAACGTACTGCGAACAAAGTAAATTGCTAAATTGCTTTATGGAGACCACTCTTAAGTCTTAATTCAGTGGGGAGGGGATCGTATAAGCACGTGAGGTAAGACTGATGTAGCGTAACCGAGATCAAAGTTGTACAACAACATGCACCTGTACGCCCGAATTCCAGGTGGAAATTGGCGCGACGGCGATGAACCGCGGTAATTGTCGCTGAACAAATTGGGACAATAGAAATACAAAGGCGACAATGGGATAGGATACGTAACGCTAATCTTCAAGTTCGCGAGAGAATGTCGGACGTGCTTCTTTTGATGTGTTTATTTTGGGAGCGAGATTGTGTCAATGGTCAACTTAATGTCCCCAATGAAAGGTCGGACTGTATGCGCAATAGATGCACCGTTTCACACGGTCAGGGTCAGTACCTATGGTAATTAACAAAAAAATTTTCTGCCGTTTTCCCAAAGGCGGTAAGGATACCAACTCTCTTTTGCTAAATAAAGAATACGTTCGAAGAAAATGTAGGTCGCGTTTGAGAAGTCAGTGAAAGTAAGGAGAGACCGGTTACATTCAGCAATCCGTGTCAGTGAACATCAATGAGGAATGTTGAGGCTGTGTCAATAAATGATTCAAATCCGAAAATGATGAATGAAGTTCCAATCATTGTTCCGTGACTTCCACGTGTTCTTCGACCAATCCACTTGTACTATTATTTTGACTGGAATGAAAGACCTTTGGTTTTTTGTGAAGGCTATTGATTGTTGCTGTTAGGTCCAAAATATATGCAGAACCAAACCCACAGATGCCAAAATAGATTAATATATAACTGACATTATATCAGTTTTTTATTTTACCAGTTTATTTGAATCTCTTTAAATGGGAAAGTGATACAACGCAGATTACACAATACGATAATAAAAGAATTAACTTGTCACTCTTATGAAACATGATGCTAATTAAGGAATTACCCTTTGCCCCATGATGCTGCAGCTGTACAATTTTGATATAATCATCATAACCTTAATGGCTCCTCTGAGGTAGATATAGAATCATAAGTACATCTGCACAACCTATACCCTTATTCTGATATGAAACTATTACCGTAAATACGAACAATAGCGGAAGTTTCAAACTGATGAAATTAAATTCCGAGGACCTAACAACTCTAGAAGAATGAACGTGTTAAAGCGGTCGACTGTGCGAAAATAATTTTTTTAGACATCGACATTTGCTGTCGTCCGATACAATTTTGAGTGACCGTAAACTTGAACTGCAACTGGTAGAAATATTCCTGATTAAAAGAAGACAGTAACATGATGACGATGAGTTCCTGCAAAAATACAAATCTAACACGGTAACCGTACACTCAGGGATCATTCTTAGGACCCCTTCTTTTTAATGATATAACATCATGGTCAGGAATCGTACCGGGTGACCCAATAAGACTGTTCCTCGGCCATATCTCGAGAACCGTTCGTCATATGACTTAGGGGTAAAAAAAATTATTGGGTAAATCGGCTGGAAAATATTTTCAAGTTCTAAAAATGACCAACAGAGGGCGTAACTGCCATCTTAAATTTTAAAATTGCATTTCGCATAATAAACTAAAAAAAATTTTTTTAACAAGTCTCGAAACCAGTTTATCTATCATTTTCGTAAAAACAAAAACTCAGTTATTTCAAAAACAAAGATGGCGTGGGGCGTTCAATTGTTTTTGCAATAACCTGCTTTAACTTCTTAACCGTTTTTAACAAATTTGGTATGGTTGAAAAGAGCATTCCTTGGGCAATGAGAATCAACCAAAATATAGTTAATTTAGTTGAATCCTTCTCCGCCTGGGGGCTAGTTTTGACACTACGACCCGAAATCTTAAAAAAATCAAATGGAATGATATGACTTTTTCTTCATGAAAAGTAACCAAATAACATCCAAAGAAGCCAGCGAAAACCGTTTTTAAAAATCTCGTTCCTAACCTCAAATATTGGCAAAATGAGATTAATTAATAAATTAATAAAAACGCTTAAATTGTATCTTAAATTTACTTTTGACGTATTTCCGGTATTTGTCGATGACGCAAAAGTTTGTTTGGAAAAGCATCTGTTCAATCACAGATTAATCTGAAATTAAACAGAATATTAATTAAGTAATCAACGTGTAGAATAAGTAGGTATTAAGACATCATTGTTATGGATATATAAAGCAGGTCAATTGAGTAAGGCATGAAAATGCAAATAATAGTGTAATAGCATCGCTGAGGCAAGTAAACAAATAGTAGAACTAGGACAATAAAATTAGAGGAAAAATTGTATATAAACGTGTAAATATTGTGAATAAATCAGTAAGTATTATAGTTTAGGCTGGTTTTACTCATTTGGGGTGTAAGGTTCCGAGTCTACAAATTGGCACAGTGACGGGTGCCGCCTTACAGTCTACCTCAAATCATCTTTATCTCATACCGAGATTAAACAGCACCCTACACTTTTAGGTAGGCCTTGAAAAATTAAACAAATGAAACATGATGCATTATAAAATTATAACAGCCGTAATTTGTAAATTATTCTGCTGTGTTTACATTCAGAAAGTGCAGTTTTTTGAATTTGTAATCTTTTCTAAAATTCCGATTTCTACCCAAGAAGCATTTAATATGCTGGCGATATATTTTGAGTATTTTCAAAATGCGACCATCGCTGCCCCCATCTTCTATTTGCGTTATCCGAATCGACCACGAACCATCGCCGCCAGCATATTAAATGCTTCTTGGTTAGAAATCGGCATTTTAGAAAAGATTACAAAAAACTGCACTTTCTGAATGTAAACACAGCAGAATAATTTACAAATTACGGCTGCTATTATTTTATAATGCATCTTGTTTCATTTGTTTAATTTTCCAAGGCCTACCTAAAAGTGTGGGGTCGTTTTCCAAACAATCTTTCGCGCCATCGACAAATACCGGATATACGTCAAATAAGATACAATTTAAGCATTTTAATTAATTAATTAATCTCATTTTCCCAATATGTGAGGTTAGGAACGAGATTTTTAAAAACGGTCTTCACTGGACTCTTTGGGTGTTGTTTGGCTACTTTTTCATAAAGAAAAAGTCACATCATTCCATTTGATTTTTTTAGGATTTTGGATCATACTGTCAAAACTAGCCCCCTGGCGATGAAGGATTCAACTAAATTCACTATATTTTGGTTGCCCAAAGAATACTCTTTTCAACGATACCAAATTTGAAACAATCGGTCAAACGGTTAAGAAGTTATAGCAGGTTATTGTAAAAACAATTCAAAGCCCCACACCATCTTTGTTTTTGTTTTTAAGAAAATGATAGATAAACTGGTTCTCTTTAAAAATGTGAAAAAAGAATTTTTAGTGTATTATGCGAAATTTAAAGAAAATGCAATTTTAAAATTTAAGATGGTAGTTACACCCTCTGGTGGTCCTTTTTAGAGCTTGAAAATATTTTCCAGCGATTCTTCATAACCGATGTACCCAATAATTTTTTTACCCTTAAGTCATACGACGAACGGTTCCCGAGATATGGCCGAGGCCCGAGGAACAGTCTTATAGGGTCACCTGGTACAATACCAACCAATGTAGAATCCAGGGGTGGTTCAGTAGTAATTCACGCACAAGACACTATGACAGATTCCGTAATTACCAAAGCTCGCCCCTAATATTGCACATATCCATACATAACCAATCTATCCGAAAAGAAACATGTTCAAATTTCTCAGTCTTCACATAGATACACATTTGAACTGGAAATTGCATTGTTAAAAGCTTATAGGCAGAAGTAATCAAATCTAAGGTTATCTTCAGAAATCTACCAACCCCATTTAATCAACACCTATCAAGTATTAGTTACTATACAACTTAGATATGGAAAATGCTTATGGGAGATATCTACGAATTTAAAGAATGTTTTTGTATCTCAGAGCGCATCATTAGAACGATGGCAAACGTTTACGGTATTCGTACCCGCAGGGATCTCTTTAAATATCATAAATTAACATTAGCAGCAGAAATTGGGGCACTGGGAAAATTTTGGGTACCGTGGGAAAATTCTCCCCCTAATTTCGGCACTTTGGCCGGAGTGCGAGATCCTATTTCCGCAATTGGGCCGAGTGCGAAATCATATTTCGGTAGCTGGTTCAGGTTGCTTTGGCAGTTTGGCCCGGTGTGCTCGGTTTCGGCAGTTGGCCCGAGTGCTTTGGCAGTTGGTCCCGAGGTTTTGTTTTGTTTTGTTAGTTATTTCGGCAGCCGTGCTTTAGCGCTCATTATACCTAGAATTTTGACAGTTACAAGCTTGATATTAATTACCCCACATATTTTGTCAATTAGGGCATCTCATAATCTGGGAGTGCGCGAGCATTTCACAAAGTGACATTTTTAGCGCTAAATACACTTGATGTAGACAAGGGGATTCGAACCGCTAAGCCATGACAGTACACCAATTTATAAAAAGATGAAAATCTTACACCAATACTACGCGACGCCTGTTTCGAAGGAACGCCTCCCCACTTACGCCGAAAATAATAATAATAATAATGCTTTTATTAAATTGGCGAAAAAAGAAAAAAATACAGTTAAAAATGGTGAAATGGAGCGAAGTTCAGTTCCACAGTAAAATACCGTAGTCTGCTCTACCACTTAACCCCGTACATTACATGTATACTACAAATAGTGTTACTTTAATTGCATATATGGTTACTACTCTAAACATTGAACGTTAAGCCACTTTTCATAAGCGAATAGAGTTTGTTTTTGAACCGAGCACTTGTCAACTGTTTTACGATGTCTGGTACCTCATTATAGATTTTTACAATATAATAAGAAAATGCTCTTTTGAAATATTGGAAATTGTGAATCGGTGGTGTCAGCTTGCCTTTGTATCTTAAATTGAGGTTGTGAACATCAGTACGAAATGATATTTTTTGGTATAGATATTGTGGGCATTTGCTCATGATAACATTATGAAAAAGTGATGCAGCATGATGGTGACGACGATTACTCATGTTTAACCAACCTAACGTGATTAATTTATGACTAATTCGTTCGTATTTACGAATGCCAAAAATCAAATGTAGGCAAGAATTTTGAAGTTTCTGAACCCTACCAACGTCAACGGAGTCTAAACATGGACCATAAACAGTATCGCAATAGTTAAATCTAGATAGTACAAGGATATTACAAATGCGAGTTTTTAGTTTTGTGTTCATTAGATGCCTATGATGGTAAATACGTTTTAGTATCCCATACGATGCGTTAAGGTTCTTTGTGATATGCTCCTTAAATCGTAATTGGTGGTCCATAATTAACCCAAGATTTTTTACTGAATCACTTAACGCAATATTTTGATTATTCAGGATCAATTTAAGATCAGGTAGGGCCTTTAGTCTCGATTGTTTTCTACCAAATAGTATTGATTGTGTTTTGGTAACATTTAATTTTAGATTATGTTCTTCCGAGGCTTTTTGTATCGATTCTAGATCTTCATTTATCAATTTACATGCACTCGTTGCTTGATCTGCAGGAAAAGATAAGTAAATTTGTGTATCATCTGCGTAAAAGTGCGATTTACAGTGTTTTAAATTATTAGAAAATGTTGACGTATATACCATGAATAAAAGTGGGCCCAATACAGACCCTTGCGGTACTCCCCTCCATGTACGAAGAAAATCAGAGTTTTCACCGTTCAGAGAAACTGATTGGTATCGGTCACTTAAGTAATTTGTAATCAATTTCATTGCCGTGCTACTAAAACCAATGTGATGCAACAGTGCCAGTAACAGATGGTGGTCTATTGTATCAAACGCTTTACTGTAATCGAGAAGCACCAGTAATGTTACTTCACCATTATCAGTTGCACGAATGATGTCGTCGGTAATATTTAGGAGTGCGGTGGTACAACTGTGTCCCGGCCTAAATCCAGATTGGATGCTTGGAATTAATTTATTGATAGTTAAATATTTGCGTATTTGGGAATCTAAGACCTTCTCAAGTACCTTTGATAACACAGGCAATATACTAATAGACCGTAAATCTCTAAGGTCACTGGGTTGTTAGTTTTTGCAAGCGGAATAATTCGTGCTAATTTCCATTGAGCAGGAAAAGTGGAGTTTATGATGCAAAAATTTATTACGTGAGTTATGTATGGCAAAAGAAACGATACACAGAGTTTAAGTATTGTAGCATTCATCTGATCAAAACCTGATGCATTAGATTTAATGTGTAATATTATTTGGAAAATCAATTCTTCCGAAACTAATAACGCGCACTTCTTGAAATACCTCATCTCTTAACAGAGATAAAACACGTGCGTTAATTATTTTTTTTTATTTTGCCTTTATTTTTGAGTGGGCGTGGTTTCAGCCAAGGCTGCTCTACCAACCCAATCCACTATACATTTACAAATATCCATGCCCGAACCCGGATTCGAACCAGCGACCCTTAGCACCACAGTTCAGCTTTAACTGAACTGCGCCACATGGGCTGATAGAACTCCTTATCGCAACGACTAGATGTCCGTACATTTTAATATGCAATTTCAAGTTAAAATTCAATTAAATACACAAGTCTAAATAAACAATTTACAAAAGCGAACAAATTTAAACAATAATTATAGCAATTCTAAAAGGAAAAACAAATTCAAATACAATAAACCAACTTTCTGCTTATTTATAGATAATTCCCCGTATATATACACTTAATAAATTGAAATATGGTCATCATCATGGTCATCATGGTCATATACAGGATGTTCCGTAATTATTTTTGATGTTTAGATCGAAATAACGTCTACATGACGTTGTTTACACAACACTATAAACGTTCGCACTGTTTGTATGGTTTTGTAAAGTTTGTTTTCAATAAGCTTGGTAGCCAAGCGATTAATCTGGCTGCTTCTAATCCAAAGATCTGAGGTTCGGATCTTTCCGTCTACAACGTTAGCGATAAAATATCGACTTATTCTCACCACCTGGACACCCGCGTCGAATTATGAGATACCCCAATTGCCAAAATATTGTGCGAGTAATTAATATCAAGCCAAAACATGAGACAGCTCCAGTGTAACCACCACAGTAACATCAGGGCCAACTGCCAGGGTATAGCAACCAGGGCCAACTGCCGAAATGTGGCACCTCAGGACCAGCTATCGAAATATGATCTCGCGCCCGGACCAACTGCCGAAATATGATCTCGTACTGCCAAATTAGGCGGAGAATTTTCCCACGGTCCCCAAAGTTTTCCAAGGCCCTATACCTAGTATTAACTGGCTTGTGTGTATATACTGGAAGTCAGTATGCAAGCTTGTTTTTAAAAGTACAGCTCAATTAAAAACAACTGCAAAGATCCACAATTATAAGTTGCTAAACAACAATATGATCAGGATCAAACCAGCAAATCTAAAAATCACTCAACAGTCACTGTTTGTTATCGGAATAAAACTTATAATCACCTATGTACGAGCCTATGTACCTTACGCAAGAAGCGACACTGCCTTGCACAAATCGAAAGCCAACCTCTATATGTAATGTGGTAGAGGCCTGCTTCTATAACAGGCGAATTTTTCTATAACTGCAAATGTAGAACTGCTAATCAATAAAGACACTTATTATTATTATTAAGTAAGCGGTTGGTCCATGTTTTATTGAAGTGTCCAATACAATGTGTTTGTCAAAGGATTAAATGAAACAAAAATAGTAGTCTTACTATGAGCCCCGCTTTAGACTCTAAAACAAAATATATAATGTGGATCTCTACTACAACTTTGGACTCCACATTGGGCAAGCATAAATAAATGCTTTGAACCCCATGGTAAAATATTGAAAATAAATGCTATAACACTAACCTGGCACTTACCAAATTGGATCCACCGCTGGAATAGACAATTAGAGAACATACACTATAGCCAAGATAATGATGTCTATCATGAAGATCTCAGAAACCATAGAAGATACGACGACGGTCAACTTAGAGAAAAAATGCGCAATTAAAGTGCTATTATCATGCTTTAAAAAAAACTAGAAAATTCCTATTACTGCCGATGATATGCGAGAAAAACCAAGATTTGCAGATCTCGTTTTTATTTTTTTATAATGTTGTTTGAATAGATACCTACACAAAAATAAAAAACACTTTCTCACTCCCACTTTTTGAGCTGTACAAGACACCATTGAGAAATTTTCAATATTTCGTTTTGGAGAAATCATCAACTTAATTTTTTTATATGACCCGTAAAAAAAGTACATACTGAATTAATCAGCATTTTCTATTACAAATACGACGATGTGCGACACAAAACAACAAAAGGTGGCAATTGTGTTGGTTTCAACAGGATGGTGCACTAGCACACAACATCCTAATCCTGTGACTTTTGAGAATACCTATTGGACACTTTCCTGGAAATTAGATTAGGGCGTTGTGTGAGGGTGCACCATCCTGTTGAAACCAACAGTTGACAACTTTTGTTTTTTTGTGTGATGCTGTATATCGTAGTATTCATAATAAAAAATGCTACGCAATATAGTATGGACTCTTATTTGCCATATAAAAAAAAAGTTGATGATTTGTTTGAAACAAAACGTTGTAAATTTCGGTTTTTTTGATTTTCTTTAAAGCATGATTTTCTATGGTTTCAGAAATTCCCATGATAGACAACCTTATCTTGGACATAGCGTATGTGCTCTCCTTGCAAAAATGATGAAAAAAAGATAAATGCAATTAATTAACACTATTAATGCCCCCATTATTTGCAATTATTTCCAAGCACCACCCATTAAATTTGTTCAACTTAACCCACAAAACAAAATTTAAGTAGACTTACCTGTTCTCTGCTTTGCCGATCCTTGAAATAATTAAGATCCTGGCCATTGACACTCACTTCGCCCACACCAGGCGACCTCAGTGTGACATGACCCCTCGCACGTTTCCGGAGACATTCTACAAAATGCTAATAACCAAAAAGCCCAATTCACTTAACTGCCTCACCGTATGTCGTAATGTAGGCCCTACCATCTTTATCGTACTGCAACTTGGGAATCTCATGCGATTCGCTTTGCCTCATTAGCAATTTTCGATATGAAAGTATGAAGTCTTTGAAACGGTAACTGTACGGAAAGTGACACAACCTCTCCATTGTAATCGCAAAAGCTTCATACTGTTTGTCACTTATTTCTTCCATTAACTTATTTTCCAATTCCTGTTTTTCAAGCAGCTGAAATCCACTCAGTTCTCTAAAAGTGGCGATTTATAAACATGTTCATGGTAAACCTATACTAACAATGCTAAATTTTCATCGGGCTTAAGATTTTTCCTTATCATCGTATCTTCAAATTTAATCAACGAATTCATATACTCAACGGCATCCTATAATGTATAGAATTACAAACGCAACAAAATCAATATTGATACCTACATATAGCATTTTATAATAATTAGGATTGCCTGTGTAAAATAAGTAGTGATGTGGTCTTCCCATTTCGTTGAATTCGGCGGCTTTCCGCTGAGGAAATATGTCCTCTGGCGGTTTCATTATAGGCCTAGCCGTCTTATCATACAGTCCAGATGGAAATAAATACTCAATTGCATTCTATAAAACAGATATAAATAAAATGTGTTTGAACATATCTAAAGACATACATTAATGTCTTCCTGCGTAAAAGTGTCTGGGTTTTCGCCCATCATGTTCGCTAAATGTCGTTTACCAAGCTGAAACTCGTGTCTTTCTTGGTTCATAAACGCTTCGTGCTCTTCAGCTCGCTGTAAATAGGCCTTCATGGCCTTACTTACGTTTTTCTTTTGAGGTTGGATGGACCCAGACGGAGCGTCGGGTACCACACTGGAGCACTACAATAAATTTTTAATAAACGAAGGTGCATTTTTTACTAATTACCAAAGATTTACTAAGATATTCTTTAAATCGATTTTTTAAAGGTGTAATAAGTAAATGGTATTTACTAAACTGTTGGGAAAGCATCTTTTTTATAAATTTAAATAGTAAACACGAGCAATATAACCACAAATTGTTATTTAAGATTGTAGTTCATTACACCTACTGCAAATCTGCAAATGTCCCATTTGAACTACATAAGAATGCCAAAACTACTAGGAATCTCCATAGCGGCTAGCAGTCCGGTTTTTCTGTGACTCTCTATTTCTACTTCTAACCTAATACCTATTTTGATTTGTTTACCAATTGCCTGTGATTGCAGTGGATGAAATTTTGGAAGAAGTTATAAAAATATACACAAAGATAGATTTTGGAGGTTAAGATTTCGACAGGTGATGTTATAAGGTTACCATAGAAATTTACAAATCTCTCTCTATTGTAACTTCAATAAGGGCAGTGCATGCGCATTTACTGCAAAAAAGAAGGAACTCCTTAATAAGGATAGTTATTGCTCCTCCAAGAATAACTGCTAAGTGCTAATAAATCTTGCTCCATTATTCCAAAGTTTTTGATATTATAATCATTGAATTTAGGGGGGCAAAATCTATCAAATTCAGTTAGAAAAACATAATCATGCCATTTAAAATACATATATTGAAGTCAATTAATAATAGCCCACGAAAATAATGATTTAAAAACTTTTAATTATAACCGTGTTGTAGTATTTTTGCAGTCATTAAAGTATGGTTTTTGTTGCATTCAAGTCGGACAAAAACTGGTAGGCACCTTAGATCATATAAACAATGCACTACAGCTTGCGGTGTTTTTTAAATTACACCCTGTATATAAAAATTCTTCTGTACGTGTGTTTGTGACTGAACGCCTCCTGGGCAAATTTTGATGAAATTTTCTTTTTGTATGTGTGTGTCCCCGAATGGTTCAGAGTTACAATTGGTCCCGATCGGATTATAAGATTTCTTAAAAACCTCCTTTTTTGGTTCATGTCACACTCCGCTATTTCACGTACCGATCGATACATGTGCCAAGTCACTTGCGTGATACCGTGTCGATGTGTTTACATTTTTATAGCGTTTTCGATTGGCAAAATTCGTGCTGCACGAGTGCAATTTTTACGTTCTATTGGTAATTTTAGGGCAATTTTCTGTGTTCCATTGGCAAATGTGATGCAACAATTACGCACTAAATGCAAATTTTGACGCACGAGGTCGGAGAGCTCGTGGAGCAAATTTTCAAAATAAAAGTGCGCCAATTTGAATTTGTTTCTTGCGTTGGAGTTTTTTGTTGTCATCTAGCGATAGAGAAGATGATGAACTAGCCATATAACTTCTACTTTACAAAAAGTTGCATTTAAGGCCGCTTGACATGGAGCAATACTACGCGCAAGAACTTGCAGAAAGAAATTGCAAGGTCAAATCCTTGCATGCAATAAGCATTGCATGGTATTTGCTTCGATCATACGGTATTTGACATGGTGCAATTCTATTTCAATTGCCACATGTCTGCCAACAGAAGAAACATATGGATTTGTCAACAAAGTTGTTAACCTCAAATGAAAATTTTGATTGCTTGAAGAAACATGAAAATTACAAGAATAAATAAGATTAGTAAAAACAAGTAATGATTGCGTCTCTCAGCATCACAGTTGCCGCCGCTGTATTTTACTAGGTTGGTGCCACAAAAACAACTAGATTTATCCCTAGAATTGCACGATTCATGCAAGAAAAATAGCACCGGTCCTATAAAAATTGCATGCAAGTCTCTTGCAGCAATTGATCAGCTGGCTTTGAACTGCGCATGCCTTTCGCAATTTTTCTTGCAACTTGCATGCAATTGCAATTTTTATTGCTCCATGTCAAGCGGGCTTTACTATTTAAACTGAACGCCAAAAATTGGTTCTTTACAGGAATTTCAAATTTATATTCCTCATTGTTTAATAATTGAATTGAATAAATAATAGTGAAATCGTTTCAGTCATTTTTTAGAATACAGATTTGTCGATTACCTAAATCATTGTATAAATACAAATCTAAAATGAGGTTATGGACAAATGATAACAAATATTTATGTTCCATTGAGAGCAATTTTCACATGCATTTCTTCAGTTTCTCGTGCAATACTCGGGCAGTACTAGTTTTGCCAATCGAAAACGCTATTTACATTCAGCTACGCTGGGTGTCCGTTATCATACAGGGTGAGGCAACGAATCGTCCCTAACTTAGAAGGTATAAAAAAAACGAAAAATGTTAGAACAAAACTTTGTTGTGGGTGGCATCAAAAGGGTACAGCTGGAAGTTAATTTTAATAATGATTTTACTCTGTTTTAATCAACACATCATTCAAGCATTATTAAGTATTTTTTGATTCAAAAGTGATGTCTCGCATTGTCAATACACTGCTGTAGTCTGGTTCTGAAGTCCTGCATAACTCTGCGAAGCATTTGTTGTGGAATGCGTTGCTTATTCGACCAAGCTATGTCTGCAACTGACAGCGGTTCCAAGGGGAAATTCCATGACCACAGCGTCATTCGAGCTTACCCCCACTTCTCCGACACGTCCCCACTACTCAGAACGCTATCTCAAAAGTAGAGATACTTCTCTGCCCTACCCTATATTCGTCAATATCGAGCGTATGTAGAGCATATATACAGGGTGTCCCTAAAAGGTCTGTACAACGCGCTACCAGGTGTTCTTGGTATGAAAATAGGACGATTTAACCCAACTTACCTCTATCCAAAAGTGCTTCGGTAAGGCGCTATCGACCGCCAAAGATTCAAAAAACAAATCGTTATTTTTATTTTATCGGAAAATGGTTTTGCCGATTAAAATGAAAGTCGGGATGTGAATGTCTAATGTAAAAAGGGTCTTTGTGTTGTGATATATCATCGTTTTGATTGTAGTTGCTATGTAGGTGGTAAAATACTGACCATCCACATCTGAAGAGGTCTAAAACTTTTTAACTACTATTTTGACGGTTCTGAATTTTTAGACATTGATAGACAGTTTACTTGCAAGCATTTTTTGTCTCTTGATGAATATCGCTATCTGTGATGGTTTACGGAAAAAAAATTAATTTAGGCATGATGAATGGCATGCACCATACATGCGATTGTTCCTCAAAAAATCGGAAGATGGCTGTTAAACCTTAGAGTGGCGTAACGTTTGTTTGTTGTTTCTTAAACTTTAACAATTTACGTTTTGCTTGAAGACTTAAAACTTTAAAAAATAACGTACCAATGTTGCAAAGGGCACAGTTTAATTTATTACGTCGTATAATGCTTTGTATGCGTGAAAATGGTGGTTACTTTGAACATTTAGTACGTTTAAATTAATACATTACATTGACTTACTCTGATGTGTTCGTTTATTCTACATTACTTGCTTGCACTACGGTTTCATAGCCTACTTCTTGCTTGCACTTATGGTTTTTGAGGAACAATCGCATGTATGGTGCATGCCATTCATCATGCCTAAATTTTTTTTTTTTCGTAAACCATCACAGATAGCGATATTCATCAAGAGACAAAAAATGCTTGCAAGTAAACTGTCTATCAGTGTCTAAAAATTCAGAACCGTCAAAATAGTAGTTAAAAAGTTTTAGACCTCTTCAGATGTGGATGGTCAGTATTTTACCACCTACATAGCAACTACAATCAAAACGATGATATCACAAAGACCCTTTTTACATTAGACATTCACATCCCGACTTTCATTTTAATCGGCAAAACCATTTTCCGATAAAATAAAAATATCGATTTGTTTTTTGAATCTTTGGCGGTAGACAGCGCCTTAACGAAGCACTTTTGGATAGAGGTAAGTAGGGTTAAATCGTCCTATTTTGATACCAAGAACCCCTGGTAGCGCGTTGTACAGACCTTTTAGGGACACCCTGTATAAGAATGGAGAGCGTAGAGCGAATGTAGAAACAAAGAAGGGGCTCAGTAGGTAGGTGTTAATACACAATTAATCGCGCGTGCAAACAGTTGCCATGGACTAACATCGCACCGACCCATTGGGGATGGACCAGGAAGAGCCGGTGGTATACTAAATCCGGTGACAATCCAACTACCCGGTGGCACCCAACTCCATTTTTAATACCATATTTTGCCGATGCACGACTGGTTGAGGGGTGAGATGCAACGGCTGCCGGAAAGCAGCAATTACCTGCTCCAGTAAGTGTCGCGGTGTGTGATCCGACTCGTGCACTAACGGAGCTCCCATCGAAGAGACCGTCGAAGATAATGATGTTTTTTAGACTTAAAGATTAGGATTTTTATTTTTAGGACTATACGTGCCATGCTTTAATAAATTATTTAATTATCTATCTCCATCCAAATAGTCAACACAACCGAGAATCAACCGATCACCAAAAATTAATACGTACGGTATACTATTCGCAAAGCCTTGCAGCGAGCGGAGACACCGTCAGAACCTACCTATATGAGATGCATTAATCACTATTTATCTGTCATTTTTTTGTCATTCGAATAGCAAACAAAAATAAATGATTTAAATTTTCCTTTATTTTATTTTGTACAAACTACAGAGTTTCTGTACTAAAAACAAAACCAAAAATGAATGTAATAGGAGCAGTGAAGGCCTATATTACTAAAATGATTGATGAGAGTGATCCCGGCATGAAAGTACTTCTTATGGATAAGGAAACGACCAGCATTATTAGCATGGTTTACAGTCAATCAGAGATTCAGCAAAAGGAGGTGTTTCTGCTGGAACGTATCGATTTAGGTGGTACTAACAACAGCGGTAGCAATTCAGGTCTGCGATACTTAAAGTGTTTGGTCTTCTTACGTCCGACACCACAAAATATTGACCTTTTGTCGAAAGAGTTACGGAATCCAAGGTACGGATTTTATTACATTTATTTTAGCAACATTGTAGCAAAGGCTGACGTGAAAATATTGGCGGAGAATGATGAGCAGGAAGTCGTAAAAGAAGTTCAGGAGTTGTACATGGATTATCTTGCTGTTAACCCTCATTTATTTTCGTTCGGTTTATTTAACTGCATGAACAATTGGAAGTCGTCTACCTTACAGAAAACGGTTCAGGGTTTAGCATCTGTTTTGTTGTCCCTGAAGAAATCGCCTATGATTAGATACCAAGCAAATTCAGAAGTATGCCATGAGCTTGCACAGAAGATCGACGGATTTATTAGTAATGAATCCGATTTATTCAAATTTGGTCAAGCTAGTCAGCCCCTTTTGCTAATATTGGATCGTCGATGCGATCCCGTTACCCCATTGCTAAACCAGTGGACGTATCAAGCCATGGTGCACGAGCTTCTTGGGATTAACAATAATCGTGTGAACTTATCCAAAGTAAAGGGAATATCAAAGGAGTTAGCCGAGATTGTATTGTCCGCAGAACAAGATTCCTTTTACGCCATAAACATATATTTAAATTTCGGCGAAATCGGTCAGAACATCAAAAAGTTAATGGAGCAGTTCCAGGAGAAAGCGAAAAGCCATCAGAAAGTCGAAAGCATCGCCGACATGAAGGCTTTTGTCGAAACCTATCCTCAATTCAAGAAGCTCTCTGGAAACGTTTTCAAACACGTTACCGTCGTTGGTGAGTTGTCTTCGATGGTCTCAGAATATGAACTGCTTGATGTTTCCGAAATCGAGCAAGAGATTACCTCACAAAGTGACCATTCCTCGCATTTACAAAGTGTACGTAGATTATTAAATCCTACAAGCCAGAAGAAAATTCGCGACCTAGATGCGGTTAAACTAGTGATGCTGTATGCGTTACACTATCGCAATCACGCCAGCAATGACGTTAGAGGTCTGATTAAAATGTTGAAGAAGCGCAACGTGTCGGAATACTTGATTTCTAGCATTGACGCAGTTTTAAGGTATGCAGGTCGATATGCGCATACGAATGAAATTTTCAATGTAGTTGAAGCCGTAAAGATTACTAAGCGCTTATTTAAGGGCTTAAGCGGTGTCGATAACGTCTACACACAACACAAACCTGTTTTAAATGAAATCTTAGACGAAATTGCTAAAGGTCGTTTACGGGAAGATTTATACCCACGACTGAACGGTTTCACAAGTCAGCAAATCAATCCTCGTTCACAAGATGTGATTGTATTTTTTATTGGTGGTGTCACATATGAGGAATCTTTATCTGTACATGTTTTCAACAAAAATAATCCCGGGATGCGTGTGATTTTAGGGGGGACAACTATTCACAATTCGAAAAGTTTTCTGGAGGAAGTGAATGAGACTATTAGGGCCAATGTTTAAGTATTCATAAGTTAAATTATTATAATAAATGTTTATATCATTCCGTTAATTTATTTATATGTGTGATATGTATATAATACATAATTTAATAAAAAATTGAATAATAGATCTTTTTTATAATTAACTAGCTGACCCGACGGACGCTTTCCTCTTTCTTAGCTATGAATACCTATTCAATTCGGACTGGAATAAATAGTTACAAAAAATTTGCTGTAGGTAGCACAGGTACCACTCGCCCCACCTGCGCATGCGCGATTCTACCCTTTTATGTGTAAGATATGTACCAAATTTGATTCCAATCGGTTCAACCGTTTAGCCGGAAAAGAGATTTTGACACACAAGCCCCAAAATCTCCCCATCTCTCCCAAAAATAATAAAAAATAAACGCACTCACTTCTAATTGCTTTTGGCGATTCAGAGCTATAGCAACGTACCTTTTTTTTGCGCCAAATGCCGTAATTTGAAAGCAATTATTGTATTTCTGGATATGAGTAAAAAAATGTATAGAATCTGGCCCATTTCCGGAAACCAAAGAATGTAGTGGCTCTGGTGGCGGTACCAATGGCGTCAATTTCACTTGCCCACCGGCACAACATAATCCCGGGGCGTCGATTGCTACGCTATAATTAAATGCAACTCGTTTCTGCGTTGATCATATCGATTCCGTTGACTTCGTTTGGCGCTTCGCTTTTCTCGTCAGTTTGACTTGAGTACTCGTATATACAGTGAGTTTTTTAAAATGCGAACATAGGAGTTTGCATGCAATGTAATTTCCCTATGTTCGATTTAAAAAAAAACACATCAATCTATGAGGTGTGCGCGGTTCACATTCCCAAATCGCGCAACTTGTGTGACTATGAACAGCAACTCTATAGTCTTTATGATGAAGGAGCACTCGGTAAGATTTTTTTAAATAAGCCATGTGAGGTCATAGCAACTTTAGGATAAATTATTCTTAAACTTACGATAACTTGACTTCACATGGCACGCGCTGACATCACAATTCATTGTGAACCAACCAAAATTATTGGTAGGTCATGTGCACCTGGTACTCTACTAATTTGATTTATTCAATACATAAATGAAGAAAATAAGGAAAACAATCACAATAAATGTGAAAGTGTCCTCCTTGACATTCTAAGCAATAACCTAACCGATTTCGTAATTATATTGTACGGCGGTATTTTTAAAAATGTGACAGCTGTCAATTGTATCTACTACTCATTTGAACTACTCAATAGATTGATGTTTTTTTTAAATCGAGCATAGGGAAATTACATTGCATACTAACTCCTATGTTCGCATTTTAAAAAAATTCACTGTATGTTTGACTTTTGTAGGATTACAAATTCTGCGACTTAAGTTGGTACCATGTTGGTACGTCTAATTAGTAGCATGTTGAACAAACTAAAATTCAACTGAAAATAGAAATTGTCTGCCTTAGTGTTTTTGTATAATGTTGTCGCCAGGGGACAAATAATTAATACACACGCCAGTATCAGGATTTAATATTTCATTAACTACGATTTACGTAATGCTTGCGCCTGTGCTTGGTTATTCGCCATTACTGATAGTAGCTGGGTCATAGTCGCCATTTGTTGGATCATTAATTGCGTTAAGTCAGGGTTACTGGAATCTGGGAATACAGTATTTATACTCTCGTTAACCGCATTTTCCCCACGTGATCCCGTCACTTGTCCCAACTCTTCCACATACGCGTCCTCGTTGTCACCATCACCCGCCATCTTCTTTTCTTTTTCTCGCAATCACACAGCAAAAGCGAAAGAAAATTTCACGATTTCTAGAGACGTTCTTGAGTTATAATTATTCCACTTCTGATAATGTTGTCGCCAGGGGACAAATAATTAATACACACGCCAGTATCAGGATTTAATATTTCATTAACTACGATTTACGAAACGAACTACAATAATTCGCCAGCACACACTCTCACTGAATCGCCGCTTCCCTCTCCCCTGCGCCATCTATCTTCCCTGGTGCCAACAATAACTATGCGTATACCACGTGTTTAGTCTATTAACACTTACCAAAAATGGATATCAGGTATATCAAATTTTTAATACAAAAGGCGTGATTGCGGTGAAACCTCGAACCTTCTCAAAAAACTCACTGAAATCTGGATAAACTATCCGATCGAATTGACAGCACACTATGATATGAATAAATTAATTTTTTGACGTATATATGCCGATCCATTGCCGATCGATGTAGCTGTTAAAACAATTGCCGTCGCACCGTCAAACGCGCGATGTTTAAATAGTCGATAAGTTTTCTCCAATTTTTCAATTTTCTGCGCTATTTTCTTAGTTTTTCTTGCCGTAAGAACCTTCTACACAGTATTAGAAAACTTTCAAAAAAAGATGAATGAAATCGGTAAAGTCGTTCTAAAGTTATTGCGTGACCAGAAGAAACAGGGGTTCATTTTTATATATAGAGATTAAATACTTTAGGATTACACTGAAATAGTATAACAAAAGGGATTGGGGATGTTCAGGGATTGTGGGGGGCAACCAACTAAAGAGATTATCCGGAAATGGCTCTACCTTCTCAGTGGTTAAAAATTCTGTATGGTGTAGGTATAAACAAACCATATATTTTGTTATGTTCTGGTGCTCAATTTTTTTTAATCGGTGAAAACTTGAAAGGTAGTCCTTTCAGAATAACAGCTTAGTCAGCCCTTTTGGCTCTTATAATGTGCAACAGTACGGTAAACATAGCATGTAAAAATTAAAATTTCAACCTACAAATAACCTAATGTTCAACTCCGCTGAGTTGGGATACGCATTTTTTATTTTTGTGAAAAAAATTTAAAAAAATTCATGCAAAGAATCAAACCCGAGCGGCCAGGTTGCAAGCCAAGTATCCGTATTGCCAATTGTGCCTTACCATACAGAAACGCTCTACAATAACTTGATTTACTTTTGCACGATACGATCTCCCCGTGTAATGCAACAGGCATCTTGCATCAACTTGCATCCTGACAGCACACAGCATGCTAGATTTCATACATTTTGTAAATATTATATCATGAATTTCTCTATTTTTTTGTATATCAAACATATGCATATTTTATGTTGTACCTACAGCAAATTAATTGCTTTTTCAAATATCGTAAAAAATAGAGGCATTGGATTTGAAAAACAGAAGTTACATCGATTTCCGATTAGGTCTTTTATCTAGACCTGAAGTGATACTGGAAGTTCATATTTAGAGGTGGTTACACCTCGAAACAATATGGAGTTATACTGTCCAACAATGTAATAATTTCGATGTCAGCAATTTTTAAGTACCTACCTAATTGATAGCTTCTTATAGTCCGAGAGCTGGTAGACATTTTTGGGTAAGTATTTGAGGCACGCTGAAACCTTGTCCAATACTTCTTCAATAATACCACACAGAATTGCAGACCTGGCTGAGGAGAAGCGGGGCTAACACTTTGCCTGCGCCTTCAAAGTTTGGAAAAAATAAACTAAACAAATATAGAAAACGAGCTCCTGGGTATGGCTATAGCATGTGCAAAACCAAATTTTAAACCTGATGCTAGTTTTGCTTGTATGAAATTTCATTTAATTGCTTCCATAAATAAGAAAGTTAATTGGCACTACACATCCCACACAAAACCAAATTTGGGAAATGGCGCTACGATTTGCTTTTATTTTAAGTGTCTATGTATCAAATTTCATTTAAATCCCTCCATAAATAGGAAAGTTGTCACTGCGCATGTGCAAAACAAAATTTTGAAACTGGTAGAGTTTCTTTTATTCCAAGTGGCTATGCATCAAATTTTATTTAAATCCCTCGATAAATAAGAAAGTTGGCACTGCGCATGCGAAAAACCAAATTTTGAAACTGGCATTAAATTTGCTTTTATTCCAAGTGGCTATGTATCAAATTTCATTTAAATACCTTCATAAATAAAGAGTTTGCAATTAGGTTTATAAATGGTCGAGATGCGAAAAGGGCACTATGAATGTTGATCGATTAGGCTCAATTTTTGGAATTGCGTTTTATATGGCTAAAGCTATACGCATATTGAATTTCATGCAATTCGGTTCATAACTCACGGAGATGTCAAAAGAGCCTTCCTTATTTTTTGGGCTACATTGTCAAATTCACGAACTCCGATCTACAAATTTGATAAAGAATCCACCTACATAATTTCATCGTAATCGGTCCATTCGTTATCGAGATATCATGCTAACGGACGGACGGACAGACGGGCAAACACCGCAAAATTATAAACTCGCTAGGAGCTCGTTAATAAAAAATTTAAGTAATAAAACTTCAAATTTCAGAACAAGTTATCAAGGTAAGATTATAGACCCCTCAAGTTTATACTGTTCAAGACATTAATAAAGAGACTATTTGAGACTATTTCTGTAGAACTAAAATTCCAAAAAAAATGGGCCGATAAATATTTTCCCCGGGTCGCTTAAAGGTTACCAGTCCGCCTCTGTTTAAAGCGCCAGGAGTCTGTGGCGCTGCGTCATTGATTTGCGAATCAATTTCAGACAAGTTTTTTTTATCGATTTCTCACACTTGATAGTTGTTAGTGTCTTAGCGTATGTCTGCATATGTCTGAAATTAATTCACAAATCAATGACGCAGGGTCACAGTAGAGTCCTGATTTCAAGTGTACTTTTTTTTTAAACTTTAAAGGCGCCTAGTGTTAGCCCCGCTACTCGACTCAACCAGGTCTGCAATTCTGTGTTTGGGTAGGTATATTATTGGAGAAGTAGGTACCTACCTATTGGACAAGTTTTCAGCGTACCCACTCTAAAATGTTTACCATCAGCTCTCCTACTATTATATGAAGGGACATGGAAGTAGTAGTGTTTTTTAGCTTTGCCGATTTTGCATTTTTATTCAGTTTTAAGTTAATGCAGGTTTATTTCTGAATTTTAGCGTTACTTTGCTTCTGTAGTCAGTCAGGGTATATAGTTATTGTAAATTCTGTATGGCTTCATATATAGTTAGGTACTTGTAACTTAAAAAAAGGTAACCCTTGAATTTGGTTTTCTTGCTATCAATGTAAATTTATATTTTGATTTGTATGTGATTGGCGAGTTATTAATTTTCATTTGA